TTTTTTTAAAGTTTTTTTCTTTTTTTTTTTTTCATCCTCACCCAAGGACATTTTTTCATTTTGTTGTTCAGATAGAGTGGGAGGAAGAGAGAGAGAGAGAGAGAGAGAGAGAGACATCGATGTGAGAGAGACACATCAAGTGGCTGCCACCCGCAGGACCAACCAGGGATGGGGACAAACTGCAACCGAAGTACATGCCCTTAGCGGGAACCGAACCCGGGTCTCTCTGGACCGCAGGCCGACACTAACTGCTAAGCCAAACCGGCCAGGGCTTTAAAGTTTTTTTTTCTTGCCCTGGCTGGTCTGGCTCAGTAGTAAGAGTGTCAGCCTGCGCCCAGAGAGTCCCAGGTTTGGTTCCCACTAAGGGCATGTACCTCAGTTGCAGTTTGTCCCTGGCCCTGGTTGGAGTCCTGTGGGTGGCAACCAGTCGATGTGTCTCTCTCACGTTGATGTTTCTCTCTCTCTTCCTCCCTCTCTCCTTCCCACTCTATCTGAAGAAAAATGCAAAAATGTCCTCGGATAAGGATAAAAAGAGATATATATTTGTGTGTGTGTATTTATATATATACACAAATATATATAGTTGATTTTAAAGAGAGAGGAAGGGAGAGGGAGAGAGAGACAGAAACATTGATGAGAGAGAATATCAACTGGCTGCCTCCTGTATGCCCCCCACTGGGGATTGGGCCCACAACCTGGGCATATGCCCTGAGTGGGAATCGAATTGGCAACCTCTTGGTGCATGGGTTGATGCTCAATCACTGAGCCACACTGGCCAGGCTGTTGTCATTTTTTGACAATCTAAGGGAAAAGGGGTCAGTGCCCAACTGAATAGTTGGGTATTGCACATTTTAGAAATTGTAGCTCATGGTTGATGATCGCTGTTCTAGTGTATTCACTTCAGTTGTTGCATTCTTCACTCTGATTGGTTCTTTTTTGTTTTCAATCCCCCTTTTAATGTTCTATATCTCTTTGATGGAAGTTCTTAGTTCATCTGTTCTTCCCCTAAGTTCACTGAGCATCCTTGTAACCAGTGTTTTGAACCCTGTATCTGATAGATTGTCTCCATTTCACTTAGTTCATTTTCTGGAGTTTTGTCATGTTCTTTCATTTGGGATGTTTCTATGTCCTCTCAATTTGGCTGCCTCCTTGTGTTTGTTTCTATGTATTATGTAAATCTGCTACATCTCCTGTTCTTGACAGAGTGGCCTTATATAGTAGGTGTACTGTGGGGCCCAGTGGCGCAGTCTTCTTGGTCACCTGAGCTGGGCACTCCAGGGGTGTCCCATGTGGGCTGAGTGTGTCCTCCTGTTGTAGTTGGGCCTTGATTGCTGCTGGCACATCAGTGGGTGGGGTTGACCTTCAGGCTGATGGGCTCTGAGCACTGGTTGAAACTACAGTGGATGAGCTGCTGTGTAAGGAATGACTCCTTAGGGCAAGAGTTACTTTAAGCAGGGCTCTGGTGTAGTCCAAAGCCAGCCACTGGGTGTGTTGGGTCTGGAGTTTCTTGGGAGGGGCTCTAGCACAGGCCTAGTTTAGTTGGGACTTGTGCCAGGCTTTGGGGTCACTTGGTGGGAGCTACAAAGTGATGTGTGGTTCGTTGCCACTTGTACTGGGCTTGGGACCCTTTGCAGGGCACTACAGTGCGAGCTGAGGCCCGCTGACACTTGTCAGGTTTGTGACTGCTTAGTTGAAGCTATGTTCCAAGCCAAGACTGGCTGCCACCTATGCCAGGCTTGGGGCCACCTGATGGGAGTTAAAATTCAAGCTGAGACTAGTCACAGCTTGTGCTGGGCTTGGGTCCACCTGGCAATTGCTGTAATGCACTCCAAGGCTGGCCACTGCTTGTTTGGGATTTGCGGGACTTTGAAAAATCTGTAGCACAAGCCAAGGGCAGCCATCACTGGTGTGAGGTTTGTGGATTTTGGGGGAAGTCTGCAGCGTGAGCCAAGGCAGAAGCCACTGGAAGCAGCTCAGGCTGGGTGATGGAGTTGGGTGGGTCTAGGTCTGAGTAACACGCGAGGGAAGGTGTTAGCCAGGTTAATGGAGAACACAGATTTGGTGCCTGCCTGGGCCTGCTGTGGGTTGGGGGAGGGCTCAACAAAGAAGCAATGGTGTCTGCCAGCACTTCTGTCTCCAGAGTTGCCCCACTCCCTGCCCCTGCAGCCCTTGCCTGAAGTTAGCCACTTGGTTCTTTCCCACGTGCCCGGGGTGTTTTGCACCGCTGCCCCTGCGCTGGAGCTTAGTGAGTTCGTGAGCCAGTGTGTTCTCAAGCCCTTCAAGCGCAGCACCTCAGTCTCTAGCAGCCCTTTGTCTCTCGTGGAGGCAATCCCTGCTGGTCTTCAGTCAATGTGGAAACACTGGTGCCCCCCTGCCCGATGTAGGGCCGGGGCCCCTTGCTCCTCAGAGGGCACCTTTACAGATATCCCTCCCAATTCTTAGTTGCCACATACAGGTGTGGGACCTGCCCATTCCATGTCCCCACCCCTCTTACCAGTCTCAACATGGCTTCTGCATATCCTTAGTTATAGGAGTTCTGTTCAGCTAGTCTTGAGGTGGTTCTCAATGACTTTATTTTTCTTTATTCTTAAATCTTTTTAAATCTTATTGATTTTTAGAGAGGGAGGGAGGGCGGGAAGGGGGGGAGGGAGGGAGGGAAATATCAATTTGCTGCCTCCCACATGACTCCCACTGGGGATCAAGCCCAAAACTTGGGCATGTGCCATGACCGGGAATCAATCAGCAACCCTTTGGTGCATGGGACAACATCCAACAACCTAAGCCACACTGGCCAGGGCTGTTCTGTAACTTAGTTGTAATTTTGATGTGGTCGTTGGAGGAGATAAGTCTATTTTCCTATTCCACCATCTTTATCAGAAGTTTGACCAGTTTTTGCCTTTAAAAATTTTTTTAAATCCTCACCCAAGAATATTTTCATTGATTTTCAGAGAGAGGGTAAGGGAAAAGGGAGAGGGAGGAAGGGAGAGAGAGAGAAACATCAATAGGTTGCCTCTTGCACACACTCCATCTGGGCTGAGGATTAAACCCAAAACCTAGTTATGTGCCCTGACCAGGAATTGAGCCCACAATTCTGGTGTGCAGGCCGGCGCTCTAACCACTGAGCAACACTGGCCAGGGTGGGACTTTGTTCTTGAACGTACCTGAAAGCTACATAAAGATGCACACAGGTGTCACATGGGGGCAAGGGGAAGCTTCTTGGTGTCCAGAGATGCCCTCCTGTGTCCTGTTGCATGACACCCACTGTTCACATCCTTGGTGACACCCGGGGATTTGGTAGTAGTGACTCTGGGTTGACTGTGGTAAAATCTCCTTCTCTCCGCTGACAACTCAGGACTCAGTGTCCAACTGTCCAGTTTGGCAGGAGGCTCTGGGCGGTCATCTCATGGGCCCCGTTGCGACCTGCAGTTGGTCGCACTCACCAAACCTTGAAGCTGGGCGTCGGTAATCGAGCGCCCCTCCCTGTGACGTGTAGAGCCTTTAGAACTTCTCAGGAGGTGGCAGAAGACGTGTGCTTACAAGTTAAGGCTGGCTGATTCTTTCCCCTGAACATCTTCAGGGCCCAAGGTCCCTCCTCAAAGGTTATTTGTTCTGAGAACAGTTATTCTTTTTTTCTCTTTTTTAAATTTTTTTTTTCTTTATTGATTTGAGAGAGAGAGGAAGGGAGAGAGATAGAAACATCAATGAGAGAGAACATCGACTGGCTGCCTCCTGCATGCCCCCCACTGGGGACTGGCCCACAACCTGGGCATGTGCCCTGACCAGGAATCGAACCAGTGACCTCTTGGTGCATGGGTCGACGCTCAACCACTGAGCCACACCTGCTGGGCAGAGCAGTTATTCTCCATGCTCACACACCTCAGTCCGAACTGGTCTGCCTGCAGGACCCGCCGGGGGTGTGGACAGATGAGAGCCTCACTCTGCTTCCTACAGGTGTGACGCTGGGCAGGAACCCAAATGCTCGGTCTACTGCTGCTCTGGCACGTGGGGCATAGCAGTGTCCAGGCCCTCAGGTTGGCATAAGGTGAGTGAAAGGTATAGTGAGGTCTCTGTTGATCCAACATGGTGATTCCAATTAGGAAGGACCCGCTTCACAGCCACACAGTGTCTTCCCCTTGTTTGTTCGTGAAGACATGGTCAAAGGTCAGGATGGAGGTCAGACTCCCAACCCCCTCACTGCTAAAAGACCAAGGCACCTCTGATTTGAGTTTCGTTTATTTATTTATTTTTTCTTATCCTCACCTGAGGACATTTTTCCATTTTTTGTTCAGGTACAGTGGGAGGGAGAGAGAGGAAGAGAGAGAGAGAAACATCGAAGTGCAAGGGACACATCGAGTGGCTGCTACCCGCACAACCCAACCAGGGCTGGGGACAAACTGCAACTGATGTACGCACCCTCAGCGGGAACCGAACCCGGGTCTCTCTGGACCGCAGTCCGACACTCTAACTGCTGAGCCAAACTGGCCAGGGCTGAGTTTCATTTATTTTTGATTGCCTGTGGGTATTTTTATTAACCACTGTACTAAAGCCTGGCTTTAAAAAACTAAGGAAAGCCACTACCTGGGTCAAGAGAACTTTTATCCTGGAGCACTCACCTTCTACCAGGGCCACCTGTGGGACCTGCTGGGTGTGACGGAGTTTGCCCATGTTCAGGGAGTTGCGGTGTACCTGCCCCACATGTTCAGGGAGTTGCGATGTACCGGCCCCACATGTTCAGGGAGTTGCGGCGTACCGGCCCCACGTGTGCCGGGAGTTGCGGTGTACCGGCCTAGGGGCAGGCCCACTGCTGCTTGCCTCAGGACCCGCTGCTTTTGTACGTGCAGAGAAGTCGTGCCTAGACATTCCACGTGCCCTGGGGACACAGCCATCTGTTTCCAACAAGAAGGGGAGTAGGGCAGCCAGCCCAACTCCTGTTCCTGGGCTCCTGGCCCCTCATGTTCTGCGGGGCAGGCACAAGCACCAGACACCCAGTCTATGCAGTTCCTTTTTGACTCATTTATTTAAATACAAAAGGACATTTCATTTCTTCCCAGTTAGCCCTGAAGGTGGTTTCCTGGGGAAATTGTAAGAAAAGTCAGCTTGAGGTCAGAGGACGGCAGGACTACTCTTCCCAGAGCGCCTGGAGTCTGGCCTGATCCCAGGGGAAACATGCTGGTTTCAGAAAGCTGCGACCCCCACCTGGTGATGATGCCTCTCCTGGTAAGAGGAGCAGGGACTCAGACCCACTCTCCGTGTTCAGAAGAGCAAAGGGGGAATGGGGCTGCGGAAGATGGGGAGCTGGGGGAGGGACCCAGCACACCCTCAACCTCCTGGCCCCCTGGACTTTGTCTTAGGGCCTCAGCCATCCTGTGAACCCCCAGAGGAAGGCAACATCAGCCAAAGCAGAAAACCAACAGTTCCCCTAGAAAACCAATAATGCGCCAGATCTCACAGGGCACAGCCCCTATAGCAGACATGAGAGAAAGCCGCCCTCAGTGGGGCTGCTGGTCACAGCTCACTGCGTGACGCCTTGGCCACAATCACCAGCTTGGACAGCTCGGCCTTGAACAACCCGGGCCTGTGGGACACTGCAAAATAAGAAATGCATGGTAGGGCCCTCGAGACTCCACAGATGCTCCTGAGACAGGGTAGGGCCCAGTGGGTTCTGCAGAGCAGGGTAGCAGTCCCTAAAGTGGAGTGCACATGGAAAGGACCCCGGCCCGAAAGTCTTATGGGTGAGAGAAGACAGGTGGAGAGGTTGGTGGGTCTGTCCCGAGGGAGTGGGAGTCCACAGGAAAGTTAAAGGTGGGAAAAACAGGTCATTTTTGCCATATTGAAAACGAATGAGGATGGGGCTAGGCTGTCTCTCTTGCTCACACTGGCGAACCTGTTCGAGGACCATGTGATACTTTTATAGCAGGGCCAGGGAATCTGCAAACACCATGCCCACACCTGACTCCCTGTGGGACTTCTACTGTGTGCCCTGGGGCTCTGGGGCTCTGGGGCTCAGGGTTGCCCGAACCCAACATCCTCTGTCTTTGGCCTCTACTCTCAATGGTCCTCATGCCCTCAAGGACCTGCAGGTGGGGTTCCATCCAGACCCAGGCTCCTCCTCCCTAAAGCCCCTGCCCATGCCACCCCCTTCCCAGGGGTTTCATGCCTAGCGACCTCCACAGACATGGGTTCCTTCACCTCATCTCCCCTGAAACCCGGGACCCTCAGGGTTTCCCCCCGCTCAGCAAGCTCCCATGTCCATCGTTCTAACCACTCGCACGCTTGCCCGCCCTTCTTCTGCAACGCCAAGCGTGGCTCAGAGAACTAGGGTGGGGGTGGGGCTCTCAGGAGCTCAGGAGGTCCCCGTCTTGAAGCTGTTCCTGGTCACAGAGCCCAGGACAGCAGGCCATGTGGAGCCCTCCCAAGGAGCATGAGCTATCACTCAGGGAGTGGCACAGTGTGGCCCGCCACCCTTGAGCTAAGGGTATTTTAACAAAAATCTAAAGAAAATGGTATTTTGTGACAGGGGAAAGTGATATGATATTCACATTTCCAAATTCATAAAGTACTAAAATTTTGTTAGAATGCAGCCACATCCACTCAGACACCTGGAGTGTCTTTTCCCAACAGGGACAGGCCGAGTAGTTGCCACAGAAGCCAGCCGTCTGCCCCACAGAACTGAAAATCTTTACTACAGGGCCCTCTCCAGGGACCATTTGCAGATGCCTGGCCTACAGTACAGATGTGCCTGCAACAGTCCTCCCTCACCGCTTGGCCCCAGTGGCCCTCTGTGGTGCCCTTTCACCCACCTCCCCCGAGTATCTGGGTTCCATGTCCACAATCCATCGTTACACACCTGCTGTTTTGGTCACTTCAAATTCCTCGTTTTTCAAGGGAACGTCGCTCTCTCTTTCAAACGCAGCTTTAGACTGAAAGGGAAAGGGAAAATTCTCCTAATCAGGAAAGGAACATGAGTTGGTTTGCTTTCCCAAGAGGCACAGACTAAAGCCTCATGCTTTCACTGAAGAGCCGGTAACACTTTTCTGAGCACACAAGAGAATCCAGAAGTGGCTGCTTAATCCACTTAAGAGATTGTCAACTGACTTAAAACTTCATGCCTAATCCTAGAAGAAGGTTTAATTCAATTTTTTCTTAATTTTTAAAAATTAGGATTGTGCACCTCTCAAATTAGCTAAATAATAAAGTTTTAAAGTAAGAAGGGACCCTGGAGAGAAATTAGTTCAAAGGTGTGACAGCTGGTCTGACGTGTCACCTTGGAGCAGCCATGGCTGCAGTTATGCCCCTCTCACTAGGTACTGCTGTGAAGGCTTTCTGTGCAAGTAATGAAAGTCCATCCCAGGCTGATTATTCTCCTTGATGGCCTGGGTTGGGAAGGGCCTTCAGAGCAGAGCTGTGGCTTCCCTGAAGGAGAAACCCCACCCAGGGACAGCAATGGCAGCCCATGCCCAGGAGTGCCAGCCCTGCCTGCCAGCCTGCCTGGCCTGTGGACTCTGGAGCTGCTTGGTCAGTCCCCTGTGGCAGAAGCCAATTCCTGGCAATAAATCTCTACATGCCTGCCTGTCTCCTACTGCTTCTGCTGCTTAATCGAAACTGAACTGATACAAGTCATTTGCCAACTTTCTGACCCAAATGCAGAAACAGGGTAGGCTCTGCCGGGCCATGAGCCACAGGTCCCTGAGGTCAGGGGATGTGACCCTGACACACACATACCAGTGAGATACACTGCCTGCTCCTCCAGGGCCATTGCCACCCCTGCTGTCCCTGTTCCTGTCCTAGAGCTGGGCATCCAGGCCACCCTGCCCTCTAGCTTCCTGTTGGCTTTTCCAATGGGGGCACCAGCAGGAGACTGGCAGGCAGTAGGAGAGTAATGCCAGGGTGTCTACTTCCTGTTCCACCTACCTGTCAGGTCTCTCGAGGTCAGCAGGGTCCCACTCTGGCACCACTGCTTCTCTCCCTGTGCCTCCAGAACTGGGAGCCTGCAGTGTCCCATGTTCTTCCAAGTTACGTCTATCTCCTCCTCTTGCCTGTCCCCCCAAGGGTCTGAAAGGTGCTGTCCATGGTGGGACACCCCAGGCAACCACCCCATTGTGCTTAGATACTCACGTAGGCCATGCCATACTCGATCTCGGCACCCCTCACCTCTGCCTTGAACTGTGTGAAGTACAGGTAGGACTTGCCCTGGGGCCTGCAGAGAAAGGCAGGGTGAGGGGTCAGCCCAGGGCCACGTGTTTACGAGCATTGCTGTCTCTGGGAAGTATGGACTGGGCCCCTCAACTTCATCCCCTCTTTCCTTTGCCAGAATGTTCTGGTTTGTTTACTGACAAGCCTCTTTCCCCTTCTGGAGGCAAGTTGTTCTAGGGTGGGACCCTTACGTCATTCACCGAATGTGCTGTATCAACAGCCAATGACATCCAGGTATTGCCATGGGGGCTACAGCAACATCCCAAAGGGTGAGAAGCACAGGAGGTAACTGGGATGGGCGGGAAGGGCTGGCCCAGGCAGAGGAAATGGTGGCTGCAAAGGCTCCTCAGGGGGCACAAGTAGGGGCATTTAATAAACAGGTCAGTATGGCCAGAGCAGACAGAGAAGCAAGAGGACTGGTAACAGTAAGGGGATGGTGGTGTCTGCAATGTGAAGAGCTCTGCTGGCCATGTGTGGAAAGCAGAAAGTAATGCGGATGGGAGGAGAGAAGGCAGCAGGGAGGCCAGGGAGGAGGTGGTGGGGATGGGAGTGTGGGGGAAGGAGGTGGCGGGGATGGGGAGGTGGTATGCAGGGAGTCTCCCAGACTCGCTAAGCCTCTCTGTAGATAGAGGCTGGGCCCATTGAGGCTGGACCTCAGCTGAGCAGGTGGCCCCACCTGCCTGGGACTGAGTGAGTCCTTGGGCCTGCATGGCCTGGGTCTGTGCCCCACAGAGGGCTGGTGTTCACATGCCCTGTGAGGGGCAGCGATCTACACACAGTGGAATGCAACCTTATACTGAGCCTTCCCTGTAATGAGGGCATCCCAAGCTCCTTTCTTTGTGATGCTTCTGAGGACAGGGGATGTGGCACAGGCCGGGTCTGGCCTGATGAGGATGCTGGGCCCCTGGCCCTTGGGGCAGTCCAGCAGAAAAGCAGGAATCTCCCCAGTAGCACTTAGTCAATACCTGCTGTCTCCTGAGGAGGAGACTCTGGGACAATGCCTGCAGGTATGATTAAAACACTAAGTGTTGCCCTGGCCGGGTGGCTTAATTAGCTGGAGCGTCGTCCTGCACACCAAAAAAGGTTGCGAGTGATTCCAGGTCAGGGCACATACCTAGATTGTGGGTTCAATCCCCAGTCAGGGTGATGTGGGGGCAGGGGCAACCTACTGATGTTTCTCTTTCTCTCTCTCCCTCTCCCCCACCTTCTTTCTCTAAAAATCAGTAAAACATATCCTTGGGTGAGGATTTTAAAAATGCATTAAAAAAACAGAACACGCCGTTTCCTTATTGTACACCCAAAACCTATATAATTTTATTAACCAATGTCACCCCAATAAATTCAAGAAAAAATAAAAAAAGCACCATGCCCTTTAATTAACTTCGAGTCCCTGCTCTCCCACTATGTCCAATTTGTTGATCTGTCCCATGTGTGGACCCTGGTCCCTTGAGGGAGAAGCCACAGTTTGGACCTTTTCTGTTGGGCAAATAAAAAATGCTCGAGAAACTGGTCCTGCTTGAGGTGACACATTCCAGGCAGAGGAGCCCAGGAGAGAAGGGACATGATTCCACGAAGTCCTGTCACCCTCCTCCCCACCCAGGGCCATGCACACTGCCTCTCTCCTTCATCCCTTCTTGGGCTCACCCTCCCTCAAGCTGGGTGCCACCAGTGGGGTAACAGAAAGGTGAACAAGGCATTAGTCCCTGGTGGGGAGACTGAGCCCGTGAACCATGTATGTGACTGAGGGTGACAGTGGCAGGAAAGCATCTGGGGAGCCCGATCCCTCTCCCTGGTGCTGTGGCCACTGCCCACACTGAACTTCTCCAGTTCCCACAACCCCCTTTTGGCCTCAGTGTCAATGTGCTTCCCTGGGGAGTTCCCTGGCCCCTGCCAACTACCAGCACAGTGTGGCACACCCTCTCTGTGTGACCCTCCAGGGGTGCAGGACCCTACTGGTCTGTCTGCCCCCCTCTTTCTCGGCTGCTTAGAGCAGCGGTGCAGTCATCCTCAGCAGCCTGAGCGAAGGCCACTGCTCCCAGGAGACCCTGCCCCTTAGACCCACAGCTCACCTCCAGATGGTGCAGGTGAAGTGCTGGTTGTCTTCGCTGGTCCCCAGACTCATCTGCCACTTCTGGGGAGAGGAGACAGACACAGGTCAGTCCGGGAAACAGCCCGGCCATGCACAGGCTAGCTCTGACAGCTTCAGGTTTACTTCCAGTTCTGTAGAGTGAACCTTTCCTCAGCCTCATGGCTGCAGCTTGGCCCCCAGGTGCCCCCACGCTGCTCAGGGGCAGTGAAATTACTCTGTGTGACAAAATTATGGGTATATATCCTTATACATCTGACCAAATCCATGAAATGTGCACCAAGAGTGAACCCTAACATCAACTATGAACTTGGGGTGGCAACAATGTGTCAATGTAGGTTGACTGACTGTAACAATGTCCCACTCTGGAAGGGCATGTTGATAATAGGGGAGTCTGTGCATGTGGGGAAGTGCAGAAAGATGTATCAAAACCTCTATGCTTTTTGCTCAATTTTGCTGAGAACCTAAAACTGCTCTAAAAAATAATGTGTGTTAAGAAAAAGAAAAGAAGGGAAGACAGTACAGTGATATCTCGGTTCTCGAACATAATTCGTTCCAGGAGGACGGTCGAGAACCAAATTGTTCGAGAACCGAAGCAATGAAACCCAATAGGAAATAATGGAAACTGGATTAATTCGTTCCAAACCCCAGAAAATGCCTATTTACTGGCCTAATTTGTATATAATATGTAGAAAAACATAAGTCTCAACAAGAAATAAAAGTGTACAGTATGTCTAAGGGTTAAATTCAGTGTAAAGCGTGACTCTCTCCACAAAGCGTGACTCTCTCTCTGCACTCACACTGGTGACGCAAGCAAGGCGCGCTGGGCCGAATGAACGCCATTCGGCTCAACTCGGCTCATCTCGGAAGTTCGAGTTCCAAATATTTGTTCGGATTCCAAGACAAAAGTTTCTCGAATCTCCTGGTCGAATACCGATTTGGTCGAAATCCGAGGTGTTCGAGAACCAAGGTATCACTGTACATTCATGCCTGCTTGCAGTAGTATAAAGAAGTCCTCAGAAAGGACATAAGATTTAAAAAATTGTGGTTACCCATAAGACATGGGCAGAAACTGGGCTAGTAGAAGGTGCTGTCAACCTTTTATGTGTTTTTAATTTTGGACGATGTGAATGTATTAGCTATTTAAAAATTTAAAAATTTTAAATTAAAACTTTAAACTGGTTCCAAAACACACCACTATTGGTGTATTCTAATTTTCATGGCCTCTGAAAACCTGGCCAAATGGGTACGGAAAACCCACTCCTACCTTCCAGGCTGCCTAGGGCACTTCCACAGTTTGTTAGTAAAATGAGTTTGCAGTCCCCTCCCAAGAGTAATAATGGACTCCGATTACTGATTACAGGTACTCCAGTTTTACATCAGATCTTTTTCATTAATGGGAACAAGGCCATTTTTATGTTAATTATAATGGGAGTAAATGGTCACTTAGATGCCTTTTGCCTGGAGCAGGGATGTAGGAATGAAATACCAGTTTACACGTACTGCATAATTCATCCTTTCAAAGTGTACAATTCAAAAGGCAGGTCCAAGATGGTGGTGTAGGTGGACACAGAGCTCACCCCCTCCCAAGAACACATGAAATATTTAGAGCACTTCCTCCTGAGAAACAACTGTGAGCCAATTACACAGCTTTTGCACAAGCAAGAGAGAAACCACACAGAAAAGGTCAAGGGAGCTCTCTGTGAGCTGAGAAACCCAGGACCAGAGGAACCATTGAGCGCCATTGTTTATGTTTCTCCTGCACATGGATAGAGTGGGAGCTCCATCCAGGTTCTCTGGCCAAACTGTAAAGTGCTGTAGCAGGTCCTCAGCCAGTTCCAGCTAGATGCAGCAAGAAGAGGAGGGTGCCATAGCATGCATACAAATGCCCCTCCATCCTGAGACTGATCCAGCAGGTACTGGTGCTGCTTCATGTACCCACTGGGCTGTGTGTGCACATGGAGCCCCTCCCCTATCCCCCGCCTGGGGAGAGTGCAAAGCTAGCAAAATACTGCAGTACCCGCCTATAGGGCTACCCCAGCCAGATAAAGTACAGAGATAGTGAAGCGCTACTGTGTGATCACATGGGGTTTCCCTGCCCAATGAAAGTGCAGAGTTAGCAAAATGTTGCGGTACACACACACAGGACTGCCCATGCAGAGTGAGCAGGCACTGCTGTGGGTGTAGGTATGCCCCACCCGGAAAAGGCACAAAACTAGCAATGTGTGGCTGTGTATTCATACAAGCTGCCCCACGCGGAGAAAGGGCGGAGCTAGTAGGGCAATGAAACGCAAGCACACAGAGCAGCCTTGCTCAGACCCTGTTCTGCCAACAGACAATTAAAACAACAGGGCATGCCAAGTACACACCTAGCAGTCTGGCCCACACCAGGCTGTCCCACCCAGAATCCACTCCTATAGACCAGACAACACACCATGCACTACATACACCTCCCCAAAAATAACTGACCTGCCAAAACTATCCAATACAGTTTACACAGGGACCACGTTTTCAAAACTGGGAGAGATGGCTATTCCATCTAACTCACAGAAGCAAACACAAAAAGTCAAGCAAAATGGGTAGACAAAAGTATATGCCCCAAATGAAGGAACAAGAGAAAAAAAAAAAACCTCAAGAAAAACCCTACTGAAAAACCGGATAAGTAATTTGCCTGATAAAGAATACAAAGAGCCCTGGCCAGTTTGGCTCAGCGGTTAGAGCGTCGGCCTGCGGTCTGGAGAGACCCGGGTTCGATTCCCGCTAAGGGCACGTACTTCGGTTGCAGTTTGTCCCCGGCCCTGGTTGGTCGTGCGGGTGGCAGCCGCTTGATGTGTCCCTTCACGTCGATGTTTCTCTCTCTCTCTCCCTTCCTCTCTCTCCCTCCCACTCTATCTGTACAAAAAATGGAAAAATATCCTCGAGTGAGGATAAAAAAAAAAAAAGAAAAAAAAAAAAAAGAAAGCCCTGGCCGGTTTGGCTCAGCGGTTAGAGCGTCGGCCTGCGGTCCTGAGAGACCCGGGTTCGGTTCCCGCTGGGGGCGCGTATCTCGGTTGCAGTTTGTCCCCGGCCCTGGTCGGTTGTGCGGGTGGCAGCCACTCGATGTGTTCCTTTCACATCGATGTTTCTCTCTCTCTCTCTGTTCCTCTCTCTCCCTCCCACTCTACCTGAACAAAAAATGGAAAAATGTCCTCGGGTGAGGATAAAAAAAAAAAGAATACAAAGAAACGGTCATAGGATACTCAATAAACTTTAGGTAGAATACAGGAACTCAAAGAGCACTTCAACAGAGATAGGAAACAATAAAGAAGCAGAGATAGCCCTGGCCACACAGTCAAAAAAATAGCAAAATGAAAAAAAGAATTAAAAAAAAACTGAGGACAGCCCTGGCCGATTTGGCTCAGCGGTTAGAGTGTCGGCCTGCAATCCAGAGAGACCCAGGTTCGGTTCCCACGAAGGGCACGTACTTCGGTTGCAGTTTGTCCCCAGCCCTGGTTGGGTCGTGTGGGTGGCAGCCACTCGATGTGTCTCTCTCACATCGATGTTTCTCTCTCTCTTCCTCCCTCGCTTCCTCCCGTTCTATCTGAAGATAAATGCAAAAATGTCCTCGGGTGAGGATTAAAAAAATAAATTAAAAAAAAACAAAACTGAGGACAGTGTAAGAGATCTCTAGAATAACATAAAGCAACCTAGCATTTGCATTATAGGGATTACAGAAAGAGAAGAGAAAGAAAGAATATTTGAAGACATAATAGCTGAAAACTTTTTTTTTTTAATATGTTTTTTTTTTTTATTTTATCCTCACTTAAGGACATTTTCCCATTTTTTGTTCAGATAGAGTGGGAGGGAGAGAGGAAGAGAGAGAGAGAGAGAGAGAGAGAGAGAGAGAGAGAGAGAGAGAAACATCGACGTGAAGGGACACATCGAGTGGCTGCCACCCACAAGACCCAACCAGGGCCGGGGACAAACTGCAACCGAGGTACATGCCCTTAGTGGGAACCGAACCTGGGTCTCTCTGGACCGCAGGCCAACGCTCTAACTGCTGAGTCAAACCAGCCAGGGCTTTAAATATGTTTTTATTGATTTTTTAGAGAGAGAGGAAGGGACAGGTAGAAACATCAACATGAGAGAGAAATATCAATCGGCTGCCTCCTGCATGCCCCCTACTGGGAATTAAGCCTGCAACCTGGGCATGTGCCCTGACCAGGATCCAACCAGGACCTCTCAGTCCATGGGATGATGCTCAATCCACTAAGCTACACTGGTAGGGCTGAAAACTTTCTTTAAAAAAATTTTTTTAGCCCTGGCCAGTTTGGTTCAGCGGTTAGAGCTTCAGCACGTGGACCAGAGGCACAGGTTTGCGGTTCATCCTTGACCCTGGTCAGGCTGTGCAGGAGGCAACCAGCTAAGGTGGCTCTATCACATCAATGTTTCTCTCTGTCTCTCTCTCTCCCTCCCTCCCACTCTATCTAATGATAAATAGAAAAATATCCTCTGGTAAGGAATAAAAAAAATTTTTAATAGATTTGTAGAGAGAGAGAGAAATATCAATGTGAAAGAGAAACATCAATCAGCTGCCATCTGCACAGGCCCCAACTGGGAATCAAACCACCACCCTTTGGTGTACAGGACAACACTCCACCCGAGTCACACTGGCGGGGGCCAAAAACTTTCTTAACCTGTGGAAGAAAACAGATACCAGGTCCAGGAAGCACAGAAAGTTTCAAGTAAGATAAACCCACATTAAGACATATTGCAATTAAAATGGCAAAAGTTAAGGACAAAGAAATAATCTTGAAGGCAGCAAGAAGGAACAAGAAGTCACATACAGGGAAAATCCCATCGGCTACAAACTTATTTCTCAGAAGCAACTTTACAGGCCAGAAGGGAGTGGCAGAAAATATTTGAGTGCTGAAAAGAAAAGAACCTACAACTTAGAATACTCTATCCAGCAAGGTTATCATTCAGAATTGAAACAGATAAAGAGTTTCCCAGACAAGCAAAAACTAGGCCCTGGCTGGGTAGCTCAGCTGATTAAAGCATCATCC